TGCTCTGTTTTAATTCTAGTCTGAATTCTTTGTCACACAATTTTCATTCAAAGGTTTCTATGCCTTTTTTCAAGCATTAGCCAGCAAACCCTGGAAATGCTCTAACAATTCCAGCAAGACTTGCCCCTATTTTACACAACGGTCTATGGAGACAGGCAATGTAATTGAAGTTAAACTAAGGCCTTAGTAACTTACGGGACAGATCCTGAGACTTGTGGCTCCTATTTACCACTTCTGATTAAAAAAACAACCACCAAACCCTGTATTTTCTTAGCAGTGCTAGTCCCTACAGAGTGTATGCATTCCTGGGCTGCTGCTCCAAGCACCACTCAGGGGCTGGGGGTCTCCTGTTGGTTCCCTGACATAACCTTTAGCTCCAGGCAAGGCTCCTTGCCACAGCATGAGCTTCCAGGGTATGTTTCTTTCCCTGGTGAGGGCTGAACTCCAGTGAAATGCCCCTGGGCTGGCTGGAGCTAAGCAAACCTCTTTCTAGGGGTGGCACCTTACTCTGCACTCCATGGGTGTGGATCAATTCCTGCCTGGGAGCTGAGGGCACAAGCTGACCCCATTTGGAAATGGATGCCTCTTTCTCCAGCTAGCCCTCTTCAGGCAAAGTCCCCTGCTTTGTCCTTGGGTCTCTTCAATGTGATGATCTTCTCTGTCATCTGCCTTTTCTATGGTCTTTAGTGTGTCTCTCACTGCTATTATTACAGTGATGTGGCACTAAAGAGATCACCAAAACTTAGATCACTGCTTACAAAGAAGGAGCACAGAGAAAAGGAAATGTTTTCAAAGTAATCTGGTTTTGACCTCCCATATCTGCCAGTGGATGAAAACGATGGGAAAAGAAATTCCTGGTCAGCCTCAACACTTGGTTTCAACTCTGAGCTTGTCATTCGGTGGCAGTTCTGCAATGTCTTATAAGAAAGAAGATTTTTAAACTACAACTGTCTTCCAACTCCCCTATAAATATATTTTGGCCTGATTTTGATTAATTTTCTTCTAAAGGAAAAAAAACAACAACAGACCAAAAAAAGGGGGCAGAGTCACAAAAACCTTTGGCTGACCAAAACCATCTCCCCCTGAAGATGGACAGCAAGAAAGAAAAGATGTGCCCAAATTTACAGGTGATATCAGTCCTTGGAGGGCCAAGCACTGCAGTTTCCCTTCTGCTTTGTGCCAGTATGGAAGCAGAAGAGCAGGAAGGAAAGGCAAGGGACCACTAAAGGACCTGACTGGGATAAGATGAGGAAACTACAGTGAAATTCACAATGGAGTAACTTGTTGTTACTAAGGTGGGAAATCAAGACAGGTCTTCTCTCAGCTTCTGCCCACCTTCATGGCTGGTGACAGGTACCAGCACCTCTACCCTGGTTTCTGCAATGGAACCAAAGCCCAGTCTCACAGCTGATGAGGAGACCGAGAGCAAAGTTGGTGTCCCCACTGAAGGCATTTCAAAAGGTTCTAAAAGAGGACCAGTATAAATTCTCCTTGTTGCCATATAAGCAGAGACTGAGAGCTGACAACTTCAGCAGGGAGGAGAGAAAACCTGGGGTTTGCCTATATTTTTTTTTTAACTGAAAACTTTGGATATACAGAAAAATCCATGTGGAAATGTGGTTGACCCTTCCCATTGCATCTTGCTTTCTCCAGTAAGTACCACTCTGTTCTGCCCTGTAAACCCTCTGCAGTTCATTAGATATCCATACAAATGTGATGCAGATGTACGTAGCTCAGTGTTACATGGTGTGCCAGGGGAAAAGCCACTTAAAAATGGTGATGCCAAAGATAGAACTCTAGTCCTTATAGCAGTATTTGTAGTTGAGGTGTTGTTTTTCCCCACTTTTCCTCCCAGAGGTCTCTGGCATCCTCAGCCAGGATTCCCTGGTGCTCGGGGCAGGAGGGAACTGTGCAAGCCCGCAGGCATCACTAGATGGTGCCGCAGACCGCCTCGCAGCCTGAAGCAGCACCAGCTCCCAGCTCCGGCTGAGAACAAGCCCGGCTTATTTTTCTGGAGATGAGAACAAGAAGCAACTGCATTTTTCACAACGTTCCTAGTTAGTGAATTGCTTCTAGGCAAAAATAGCGCCCGAAATATGATCGCGTTTTCAAGCAGCTGTAAAATTTTACACATGGAGAAAACAAGCAGCTTTTAGGAAAGGAATAGCAGCTGCAGCAGAATAGGTATATGACATCTTTATGTGATACTGAACCCATGCTAACCCACTCTGTTACCCCACTGTGAGAAGTCAGAACATGGTGCAGAACACTGATGGTGATGGTTTCTGTGTGTCCCCAGATACTCTGAAAAGGAAATACATCTGGAACTAGGAAGGAACACTTTCACTGAACAGCACTCTTCCAAGAACATCCAGGAAAACAGAGGCTGCCAAAGCTGTGAGACAAATGACAAGTCTGGACTACTATTTTCTTTTTTTTGTCCGCCTTCTAAGGGATATTTCAACCTTTGAGCATTTGTCTGTGACCTGAAGTAGGATCTGAAAATGTTGAAAACCGTTGAAATAACATAATTTCATTGCAATTTCTCCCACTGTAGACTTTAAATAATTACTGTAAAAAATACAATTTGTATTTTTGTTGAAGTTGTTTTCAATTAGGGAATGCTCTGATTAATAATTTCCATCTGGCTCTTGAAGTTAGATTTGTATGTCTTGCTTTCCTTAATCTCTTCCCTTCTGGCCTTTGCTCTCTTCCTTGTGCCTAGTCATTAATGGGTTATTATGCTACAGATCATGAGCTTGCATTTGTATTGTAGTTTTTATAGCCTTCAAAACCACAATGTATATTTATTTCAGAAAGTGAACAGATAAAAGCCTTAGTCAGTAAGTAATTTCTTTACTCCATAATGTA